TTGGTCTTAAAGTGAAGCAATGGGTTCGTCTTAAACGTGGTTTGTATAAAGACGATATAGCACAAGTCGATTATGTTGATTTGGGGCAAAACCAAGTACATTTAAAATTACTTCCGAGAATTGATTACACTCGAATGAGAGGGGCATTGAGAACCACAAGCTCTGTTAGTACATTTTTAATATAATAAAACAACATAACAATCATTTTAATATTTTTAGGATGCAGATGATTCAAAGCGTAAGAAGAAGCGTCGTCCACCAGCTAAACCATTCGATCCGGAAGCAGTTAGAGCGATTGGTGGAGAAGTACATTCTGATGGTGATTTTCTTCTTTTTGAAGGAAACCGATATTCGCGAAAAGGTTTTCTATATAAAAACTTTACAATGTCTGCAATTTTGGCAGATGGTGTAAAACCTTCTTTGGCAGAGCTTGAACGTTTTGAAGAACAACCTGAAGGTATTATATACTCTTTATTCAAAAAAGTATTCATAATTTGTAATATATATAACATTCATATGTATATGTAAACTAATGCACTATCTATTTACTTTATTATATTAATTAACCTATTAACGATTTTAAGATGTAAACTTGGAAATTGTTTCTTCGGTAAAGGATGATCCCTCTTCTACACACTCATTTTCCATGGGAGATAATGTGGAAGTTTGCATCGGCGATTTGGAAAATCTTCAGGCGAAAATAATTGCTATTGATGGTGGCATGATAACGGTTTTACCCAAACATCAGGACTTAAAAGTATTAATAACAACATTAAAATTTTATTAATATTAGAGGTATTTAGGTTGAACTCGATATTCGTAAAATTTTATGTGAATTTGTCGCATATAAACAAAATATTTACGGAGTTCGGTCTGAATACACCTTTTGTGTTATTGAAGTATTTGATTTAATTTGTTAAAAATTATTATAAACTTAAGACTTATATTGTTCTTTTAGGATCCTCTTATATTTAAAGCTAGTGAACTTCGTAAATACTTTAAAACAGGTGATCACGCCAGGGTGTTGGCTGGTCGCTATGAAGGTGAGACAGGTTTAATTATACGTGTTGAGCCTTCTCGCGTCGTTCTTGTATCGGACTTAACAAATCATGAACTGGAAGTACTTCCAAGAGATTTGCAACTTTGTACAGATGTTGCAACAGGCGTTGATTGCTTAGGACAATTCCAGTGGGGCGACTTAGTACAATTAGAGTATGATGTAATTAATAATTATACGATATAAAAATTAATTTTTTTTTATATTAGTCCCCAAAATGTTGGAGTCATAGTGCGTCTAGAACGAGAAAATTTCCATGTACTTGGTATGCATGGAAAAGTAATTGAATGTAAACCAACAGCTTTGCATAAACGTAGAGAAAATAGAAACACAATTGCTCTCGATGCAGATCAAAATCAAATACGTCGACGTGACATTGTTAAGGTTATGGAAGGTCCACATGCTGTAAGAATTAATAATTTGCTTTAGAATTTGTTATTTCTAACTTTGTTTTTTAGGGACGTTCTGGTGAAATTAAACATTTATATCGCAGTTTAGCTTTCTTGCATTGTCGCATGTATACCGAAAATGGCGGTATATTTGTTTGCAAAACACGGCACTTGCAATTAGCTGGTGGTAGTAAATCTCAATCTTATAATATTGGTGGGCTTAATGGTCTAGGCTTCATGTCTCCTCGTATACAGTCTCCTATGCATCCATCCGGTGGACGAGGAGGACGTGGCGGAGGCCGCGGACGTGGTGGATTCCGTGTTACACGTGATAGAGAAATACTGGGAAAAACTATAAAAATAAGTGTTGGACCATATAAAGGTAAATATAAGTAGATAAATTTCAAAAAGAATATATTTTCTTGGTTATATATTAAAAATAATATTCCATTTATTATTTCTTTTTTTAGCAATTAACTTATATTATAATTTAACGAAAATTAAAAGTTATTAATCCTGTTAACAATTTCAAAATTTTAGGTGCAGTCGGTATTGTCAAGGACGCAACAGAAAGTACTGCTCGAGTAGAATTACACACTTCATGTCAAACAATATCTGTTGATAGGAATCACATTTCAATTGTTGGTGCACCTGGAAAAGAAGGAAATGTTTCAACATATGGCAGAACTCCTTCACGTACACCAGGATATGGTTCACAAACACCAGTTTATGCAGCTATGGGATCTAAAACTCCACTTCTTGGAAATCAAACACCTAATTGGGATGCTGAAAGTCGCACTCCATATACTAGTGCAATGACTCCATTACATGAAGGCAGTATGACACCACGTCATGGTGCTTGGGATCCAAATGTAACAAATACACCAGCACGTAGCAATGATTTCGATTATAATATAGAAGATCCAAGCCCAAGTCCTGGTTATAATCCTAGTAATTTGAAAATGATTAAAATTTTTGTATCATATTCAAATAATTTTTTTTTAAAGGTACACCAGGATATCAAGTAAATACACCGTTTGCGCCACAAACACCCGGAACATTGTATGGTTCTGAACGTAGCTATAGTCCATTTAATCCGAGTCCAAGTCCAACTCCTTCACCATATCCAGTTAATTACATGAACACTCCATCACCTTCTACTTACTCTCCTAATACTCCTGGAGCGGCTCCTCAATCGCCATTTAATCCACAAACTCCAGGAGCTAGCTTAGATTCCCCTATAGGAGATTGGTGTACTACAGATATTGAAGTCAAAATTCATAAACATGATGATATCGATTTAGTTGGACAAACTGGCATAATACGAACCGTCTCTAATGGTGTTTGTTCCGTATTTTTGAGACAGGAAGATCGTAGCGTGTCTATTGTAAGTGAACATTTAATGCCAGTACCACCAGAAGTTGGTGATGAATTTAAGATTATCTATGGTGAAGGAAGAGAATCGATTGGAAGGGTTATGTCACAGGATGAGAAAACTACAAGTATATGCAAAATTAATGGCGAATGTAAGATGTTATCTACATCTTTACTCTGCAAGATGAAATCAATTGAGTAGATGAAATACTTTTTAAAAGCAACGGATATATGTTAGGATGACATTAAAAATAAAAGTATTTGTTTTTATTTTGAAATAATAACTCATATTTGTAGTAAAAATGAGTACAACAACAATTTTTAAAACAACTTGTCGTTTATGATTGATTAGATGTGTGCATATTTACAATTTATTTGTAATAACAATATGACTTATATTCAATAGAGAAAATTTATGTCTCAGTTATGGACATTGAAATTTCTTATTATATACACAATAAAAGCACGCAAAAAATATTTTAACTGGTTGTTGCTTTTTTGTTTAATTTCAACATTTTTTGCTTTTATTACTTGTGTTATTAAAATGTTTATACGATTATTGAGAGTAAAGGTGTATTCAGTTCTTGTAAATAAAAGGCTAATTAGACTTCAGAGATATTGTAACTATATATATAAAGTTTAATTCAGCAATCGAGGAAATGAGTTCTAGCAACCCACACAGTTGGTCATACCATCAACGGCAATCGGTTTAACAAAATATCTCTTTGTTGGTAAATGAGCTTTTAAGTTTATTGGATACAGGTATTTTTTTTTGAGTTAGGTATTTAAAATAGAAAAAAATTTCTATAAATTATTTTTCCACTAAAGATTATAACAATAATCTTTAATAGCCATAAATAAAATTTAAAATGACATTTTATTATTAACTGCTAAACTAGGACACTTTAAATAATGTACGTCAAATATGTAAGAGAACAAGTATTAATGTATTGGCATGAAAAAATAATACATATTAATATATGTCGGCCTAAAAAGTATGTGAAATAATGCTTGAATTCATCATTATTTTTGCATATTTGTTTTTTAAAATTTAGCCTAATTGTCATTTTGAGTTCGAGATGTCAGCAGTAGGAAAATAGCGCGTTCTCCCGTTTCCTCCTGAGGTCAAAATTAAATTTTTTTAATAAAAGTACTTAAAGTTTACTTTTATATAACGTAATAATATAAATTTTTTATATTATCATAATTTATATGATTTTTCACATCTTGCTGACCATTTTAAAAATGCAACAGATTTGAAACTTTAGAAAGCTGGATCTTGGTTCACTATAGAATTGTAACTTGTTAATACTTGCGTAAGTTTTTAATAAACGGCTAAATCGCCTTGAAGTATTTTCCAAGAAGTTGAATTTTTAGTCCGGAAGAGAAAAAATTAAGCGTCATATTACACGCAGGAATTCAAATGATTATTGCCAGCTTAATATGGCACTTACAGAGTCAAATAGTTTGAGAGTTGATATTTAGTTTGTTTGATCAAAAAATTGCAAATAATGATATTTCACACCATAATAAAACTTCCAAAATATATATAGGATTACTTTTTTATATAGTTCTAATAAACGAGTATATGGTAGAACTTATAACGTTCTTTGACATGGAAATCTTTAATAGAGCTATCACGTAAGAATAATTTTTTTGAGATATCTCAGCTTCATATATTAATAATAACTATCGTTCATAAATTTTATACATGGGAGTATAAATTCTAAAACCGAATTAAAAATGTATTAAAACGCTCTTTAATATATTCCAATATTTTTTAGAATTGTTAGATATAAATATAGCAACACCAACGCTTTATATATTCGCTATGTTTCACTTATAACTCCGTGTAAGCAAGGGGCATCTACCATTTATTTGAATTACATTTATTTGGAATCTATATTACTGGCATCGTTACACGGGTAGTTTCCAGCAGCATATTCGACGTGATGTCACTCCTGGAATGCAACAAACTTGACAGTTCCATTTAAAAACTTATTTGGTGATGAATATATACATATTATATATATGTACATATTTAACAATTTATCCATTAGTAAAAAGTTATGAGGCCTTAATTTATTAAAATGAAAACTAGAAAATTATTTGCGAAACTTGTTTCAAAAACAATACTTTTATTATTATTGTTTTATGATTAACATATGAAAATAAAAATGCATTTAAATAAATAACGCAAATAAAATTGTGGAATAAGTTTATCTTACTGCTTGCTTTGAATAAAACATATATTGTTCGACTTCAAGCCGAAATCACAATATAATATTTTTAAGATTTATCCCAATAAACTTTTTGTAAAACTATTTAAATATGCCTCGTGCAGCTTGTGAACGAACTCTTCGTCATTCTCTATCAAGTAAGTAAATGCTTGTACTAGCTGAGATGCATTTAAAGGTTCCTGCAGTGGAGGACTCTCTTTTTTTATTGGTTTGTCAAACATTGTTGGCGGCATCAATGCTGGTTTAGAATCGAATTGTAATAGAGATCTTTTATGCATATGTTGATTTTGTGGCCTTGATAGAGTTGGCGGCGTCAGAACTACTTCTTTATTAGAACTTATTTTAAGTTCCGTCGTGATTTGGTCAACTTCGAAATTGGAATTTTTATGGGTTTGTGTAACGACAGAAGACATTTTCTGTACATTACTACGATCTTCAACTGGTAAATTTTTTGGTTTCAAGTCCGCCTGTTTCAATGGTGTTATTGCCCTTTGTTGTTTTTCAACTTGATCAACGAATAGTGTATTTGGCAACATACGCTGAGATAATGGTATATCAGGAATAGCTGGCTTAGCTGACTCAAAAAACTTTATAACGTTTACTGGTGCACCGCTCTTTTCGGTATTATTTTGTCCAGAGTGAGAAGAAAGGTACTCCATTTGCGCATCAGATAACATTTTAAATATATTAACATTATTTTTGGGCTCTTTATTCTCATTGTTATCTGCAGCTTGTACAGTTGAACTTGTAGCATCTGATAGAATTTTATTTAATAGTACTGCAATTCTATCACTTTCCTTGCTGTTGTAAAACCAAAAACCTCTAATACGGCATCGCGCATTTTTATATAAAAGAAATGGTGGTTGTGACTGTATTTCCATATCAGAAGTGATTGGCTCAACAAATGAGTTTGTATTTAAACGATTGTTTATGAATATACTATGGAACGGTTGAGCAATGCGACTGTAAACAAAAAATGCGCCTTCTACATCAGTTTTTTCCCATTCATTACGCTCAGAGTTAAATGTGTAAAATGCAACATGTGATGATAAATCCACTATATCATTTGCATAGGGATCAACTTTTTTTATTGCAGATAAATTCATACGAGTTTTGCTTTTGTCAGTCATTTTTTTTTTTAATATATACTTTCACAATTCAATATGCAACAAAATTATGCGTTAACACGGTTATAAAACGGCGATTAATGTATTGGTTTCGTACTGCTCAGTATAGCAATAGTACAGTTGAAATGAATCACCTAAAGGGTGTTGTTTAATGCAGAAAATCATTAAGCATAGAATATATCGAATTTTTACTCTATATTTATCGATATTTATTGGCAAATTTTTTATATGGATATTCGGACGTATTCTGTGCACTTTACAAATTTGTCAAATTTTCACAATTATTTAAGATTTTTGACAACAAAAAGCTTTTTGCATTTCTGAACATATATTGACAAATTTCCAAGCTTAATCACCTAGTGTTTTTTTCACCACACTATGGTTTAAGGTGTTTTGTACAAAAATCAAAAGTACTCTGTAAACTAGTTGTTATATTTATATTATGACTCATTACTTTTATTTTTTTAATTCGTTATTTACTGCTTGGAATTTTATCATGTATATTTTTACATTACTTTAATAAATAATTATAAAATTACTAATAATGCCATTTGGAATTTTATTGTTATTATTTTTATAAAATTTACTAAATTTTATTTTATTACTCTTTTAATATTTTTATTCCTTTAATATAGTATAAATTCAGTAATTATTCTATTTTTAATTTTGTCTAAACAGTAAAAAATGCTTGTAAAGAGCATTCGTCATTTTGACAATTTATAGAGAATTAAAATTTATTATTAAAATTAAATTAATATATTCTAGACATATTGAAATATTTTTCAACAACAATAATTGATAATTTTCCTTTTAATGATTATATGCTGATATACAAAATGTAATAAAGATTTTGATTAACAACCATACTAATTTTAATTTTTGATATTTGGGGTATGGTAAATAAATCAGAGCTATTTTTTTTTTATAAAGGGGCATATATCTGACGCAACTGGGCGATACTACCAAATATCACTTACAGTATAATAACTGTAACTGTACTCAGGTGAGTATGAATATACTCATCGAAAATGAATGACTCGAATGACTTGTAGCATTCCAAAAATTTTGTTTGAGCTCTGTTGTTTGCTAAACAAAAAAAGTGGGTGTGCTTAATATACTTTTGGTGTGTTGTTGTTGTTGTTGTTGTTATCACTGTAAATGGATGTGTTTTGTTTGTGTTTTTGAATATTTAATGTGCACAGTAAACAACAACAAGAAAATTTTTCCCGACTGTAACGTCATACTCATGAATGAATTATAAATTATTTGCATCACTTTTGTGTCGAATGTCGGTGTTAATGAAGATAATATGAGAAAAGCATAAATCATTATCATATAAAAATGCATATAAATGAAACACAGCCAATGATTCGAGTGTTGAGTACTCATTGCAGCTCTCTGGTGTATATATTTGCTTCGAGGAAAAACAAATTATGTCATTTGTCAGTAACAACATTATTTATTGTTGGGTGACTTTTAGATGGTTTTACTTTTTTAATAATAGTCCAGTAATCGAGTAGCCGGCTCGCATATTTATAGAAGTAGAAGTAGGCATGTATGAACTGACATCCTTTTCGTGTATGCGTGTTGACCTGTCGAAATCTTTCCACAATATAAAACGTGTCTGATATGTAAGTCTAGTAGTTTCTCTATAGTTTTTAAGGCAAAGCATGTAAAACTAACTGACCTATAATCTTTTAAATAAAAGTGGTTACACTTGCGCGAACATATTTCAGATTTAGACATTTTGTTAGTATTCCCAATCTTCACGGTAATATAATATAATATATAATATATAATCTTAATGATTATTCAATGATTGATCTAAGATCTGCCCCGTGCGGTTAGCAGGACACTACTAAGTAGAACAGCCTGTCGGTTTTCTCATATAGCTTCAGAGCTCTGCCCCTTATATATTTTTTGATCGCATCTATTGTAAGGTCTCTTAGCATGTCATTCGTGCGGGTGTACCATGGCACTTTAAAGAGCCTTCGGAGAGCATGACTTTGAGCAACTTGTAGCTTCTGGATAGTAGAGTCGGCAGTTTTGTTATACCCGACACACCCATAAAGTAGTGCTGGTCTAATTATCTGGCTGTATATAAGTTTTCTGTTCTTCGTGCTAAGGGTGTTGTGTTTGAAAAATGGTTGTAAGCATTGAAGTGTTTTTGCGCAACTGTTTCTTGTGCTGCTTATCAAATATGATTCCTAAGTATTTAATGCCGTCCTCCCAATAAATCGCAATGTCACTAACTCTTACTCTCAGTGGATGTTGCCTGTGTTTACGAGTAATAAATAGGGCTTTAGTTTTCTCATTGTTAATTTTTATTTTCCATTTCTGGAAGAAGTCCAGGATGAGACTAAAATGCTTCTGGTCCCATTTCTGGCAAGTTTATCGGAATATATCAAGCAAGTGTCATCTGCGTATTAGATTAGCACCGAAGAACTTAGAATTGGGATGTCAGACGTAAAGATGTTGTACAACAAGTGGAAAAGTGGAGATCCTTGAGGAACATCTCGTATTGACGAGATGTTAATGTTGATTCTTATACAGAACAACCGCTTAGCTCAAGAAGCTGCCGAGGATTTTGATTAGCCCGACTGGGATACCAAAACGAGACATTTTAACTATCAGACCGTCGTGCCAGATCTTGTCAAATGCCTTGGCGATGTCAAATGTAATCATACCCGTTGATTCTCTCCTGCTTAGGGCTGACTGCATCATCTGAGCAGTTCGCACCAGTTGCAATTCTGTGGAGAGATCTTCCCTAAAACCAAATTGCTCGTCAGGGAAAATATTCAGAGAGAGTTCACCGAAGGTTTAAGGAAGACTACAAGTGTGCCTAGCCTAAATATATAGTTGATTATATTTGCGATGAGATGAATCGCATCTTCCGTTAGGTTACGTAAGCATCTGTTGTTAATTTTGTCGTACCCTAGAGCAAATCTTCTTTTCAATTTTGAGATGATTAGAGCCATTTCATTACTAGAGCAGGGCGCGATGCCTTCGTCGGGCTCTTGATCCAGGATATTGTAAGCCTCCTCGGTGAGGTGTTCTTTCTCTTCAGAGTCATAATCACAGTCTCCGTTAGGCTGGAATTTAAACTCCAGAGAGTCAGCAAAGACCTCGGGTTTTTCTGAATCTGTGTATGCCATGCCGGTCGCCCCATGAATAGACGGCAATTCCAATTTGCGTTTCAGCCTGAAGTATTTGTTTATGGCCCAATTCTGTAATGTAAATGTTATACTTTTTCAGCAAAACCAGTAGCGATTTTTGGATATTGTGCATTTATTTGCTATTTATTCCTTTATTTATTTCCTTTAGGCGTGCTATGTTTATTAGTGAGCACTTAGCTCGTCTAGAGCCTAGGTTTTTGCTTCTATATTTCTACAGAAGTCAATCCATGAGCCTCTTTTAGTGATGTTTTTTTTCGGTATTGTATTTCGTCCCGTTAGCTTGGCTTTCTGTAACCTAAATAAAAAAAGAATTTTTAAATTTTTGTTGAAAATTTCAGTGTTTTATTTTGAAATTTCCAGCGCTTTTACCATTCCTTTTAATTCTGTATTCAATTTAATTTTCAATTTTTTATTAATTATTTATTTATATACAAAATGTAATTTGCTTGCATTATGTACATATATGCAAAATTTGCTATTTGCCAAAACATAACAATTGACAAATTGCAAAGGTGATGCCAATATAGGCCAGCATGCAATTTTTGCCACACTTGCGAGCCACCGAAAAAGCCTATGCTACACTTGTGCTAAATTGCTAAAATATTTTGGTATTAAATGAATGCTAAACAATAAAACAAATAATGTGGTGAGCTTACGTTTGTTATAATAATTATGCAACTTTGACAAATATATAAATTTATAAATTTAAAATATAAATTTATGAAAATTAATAAATATACTTTGTTGCTAAACTGTTGAAAATGCATTTCCATATACTTGGTATAACAAAAATATAATAATGTAGTGTATTGCAGTTTACAATAACAACAATCATGTTTGAAAGGTGAACACTAAATACTAAAATATCAAGCATTGCTTTCTATTGTAAGCGAAATATAGATTGACGTATATATATCTAATATTGAAATATATATTTTAGTTCTTTCGTGTTTAAATAAGTGGGAAGGGCACTATGGGGACCGAAATTAATGTTATTAAGGTAATAAGTAAAAGTTAATAAATTTTTTAATAATACTTTTACGTGCTTTGAATCAGGCAATTGTACAGTGAAAATGAAATAAATTTCTCTTCATTTTGTGGAAGTATTTTTAACCTTACTGCTTTATTGTTAAATCTGTAATGATGTAAATTTGAATGTTTATTCTTCTTTCGGCTAACTTAAATTTTTGTGTAAACGATTAGTTAAATTTATTAAATATAAATCAATATAGGTTATAATGTTACATATTTAAAGTGAGGCCGATTTACTCCTTAACGAAAGACTTGATACTCAAATGTTTATATGCATTTAGAATATTTGAAATAAAGGAAAAAAGTAATTGTGTCATATTAATGATTCATTAATTTTACATTTTATTTTCTAGTGATTTATACATAATTTAATCGAATTATTTCAGAATGACGTATTTTTGCGTACTTTAAAGCAATCAGGCCATGTTGGATTTGATAGCCTGCCTGACCAACTGGTCAATAAAAGTGTACAAAATGGATTTGTGTTTAATGTTATGTGCATAGGTAACAAAAAATATAGCGTATGTATTGTTATTACATTTTATTTGTTTAGGTGAAACTGGGCTTGGAAAATCAACATTGATGGATACCCTTTTTAACACTAGTTTCGAATCTGTTCCAAGTCCTCATACCTTACCAACTGTGAAACTTAAGGCACATACTTATGAATTGCAGGAGAGTAATGTTCGTCTAAAATTAACTATTTGCGATACTGTGGGATATGGTGATCAAATAAACAAGGACGATTCTTTTAAAGCCGTTGTAGATTATATAGATGCACAATTTGAAGCATATTTACAAGAAGAATTAAAGATAAAACGATCACTCATAACATGTCATGATAGTAGAATACATGCTTGTTTATACTTTATAAGTCCTACTGGTCATGGTCTTAAATCTTTAGATTTAGTTTGCATGAAAAAACTTGATAGTAAGGTTAATATCATACCTATAATTGCAAAAGCAGATACTATATCAAAAGCAGAATTGTTGCGTTTTAAATCAAAAATTATCCAAGAGTTAGCCAATAACGGCGTACATATATATCAGTTTCCAACTGATGATGAAACGGTTGCAGACACAAATACTGCAATGAATGCTCATGTCCCATTTGCAGTTGTTGGTAGTACAGAATTTATTAAAGTTGGAAATAAGTTGATACGTGCACGTCAATATCCTTGGGGTACCGTACAGGTTGAAAATGAGACACATTGCGACTTTGTAAAACTACGCGAAATGTTAATTCGCACAAATATGGAAGATATGCGTGAGAAAACACATACACGCCATTATGAACTCTATAGACAGAAACGTTTGGAGCAAATGGGATTCAGTGATGTTGATAACGATAACAAACCAGTAAGTGTACATTATATCTGTTTTCATTATTGTGTTTTACTATAAACATATTTCAAATAGATTTCATTCCAACAAACTTTTGAAGCTAAGCGATCTAATCACTTAGCAGAATTACAAGCCAAAGAAGAGGAGGTGCGGCAAATGTTCGTACAACGTGTTAAAGAAAAAGAATCTGAGTTAAAGGAAAGTGAAAAGGAGGTAAAGAAGTTTGTTAATTATTTTTAATAGTTTAAATTAGTTTAAATTGTGATTTTTCATTCAGTTGATAATAACAAAAATGTTTATTTTTTTTATAGTTGCATACTAAGTTCGATAAACTTAAACGGGATCACGCTGAGGAGAAGCGTAAGCTTGAAGAATCTAGAAAAAAGCTTGAAGAAGATTTTGTTGAATTTAGTCGACGAAAGGCACAACTTGCTGCTTCACATCACACATTAACTTTGGGAAAAAATAAAAAAAAGTAATTCATTTAATAAGAATATTAATTCCATATATTCTTATTAAAGTATTCTTTTTATATATTCTGCTTTATATTATTTATGTCATATACGAAAAATTAAATGTATATTATATTTATGTTAATGAAACCGCTTATATACAGTTAATATATTAGTTCGTAGTTATAACTACATACATATATATTATATATATGATATCTCCTTTCGAATTTTAACATACATTAAAAATATATTCTTTTAATATTCGATGAGCATTTGTTTAATAAGAAAACAAAGTATTATATACACATTCATTCATAACGCCAAGATAATAAAAGTACATTTTTATTCAATTTGTATTTCTAAAATATTTTTATTCTCCATAGATATTTATTTATAATAAATTAGTACATTACTTATATTGGGTTGGATTGTTAATTTAATTTTCAGCAATAACTTAATTCAAGTAGTTCATCCTGTTGAACATTGTAAGGGAAATTTGCGCTGGTTGGGACAAAAATTTCACCGGTAATATTCCTGAAACAATATAAAAAAAATCAAACATATACTTCAATAATATCATTCATATAGTAAGTAAAGGTAGGTACAGACTAATATTAATTGCATTATATAGTTATTTAACAGTAGATTACATGTTTGGATTTTCTTTATATCCGATGGTATACCCTCTTGGTATATTTACAGCTGCAGATGTTGTTCCACACAGTTTTTGTCCATTGCAAATTGCATAAAATGGATAATCAAATGCATTGATATATATTTGTACACATAAACCGTGATTACTAAAACGATTTTGGCTTATAACAGCAGCTTGAGTATATCCACATTTACCCAAACGTACATTTTGATGACACGTATAGAATGCTGTTCCCTTATCGCGGCTAGAATGCAAACACTGAACTAGTTCGGCTCCAATCGTGTGATCGAAATTATTAAATAGATCAAATCCTGGTCCAGCCATATCGCATGCTAAAATGAAATCACTTAATTTTTTTTTATTTATTTTTATTTTTTACTTATATATTTATTTATTTTATTTATATATTTATTTTATTTATATATTTTTTTTATTTATATATTTTTTTTATTTATATATTTTTTTTATTTATATATTTTTTTTTTTTGATGCTCCAACTTACTGTCAATATTATAAAACGTAAAATGTGGCTTAAGAGCAGCACCAATTTGTGTTGCTAATTGCCCACCGTAACTAAAACCGAACATGTAACCATTGCTTGGATTAAAGCCGACATTTATTAATGATAACAATTTAAGATACATGATGTCTGTAATTTTTTTGAAATTGCGATATAATTGTATGTATGGTGCTTTGGCATAATGGCGGTAATCTATGCATACTATACAACCTTTGCGATGAAATGTTAAGCCTGAAAAAATTAAATTATACATGAAATAAAATAAATAAATATTAATTAATAAATAAAATTAAATAATATAAGAAATATTTAAGAAAGTTTTACATGACTTTCTTTCTTAGGTGATTAGGTTTTTAGAGTAATCTTAGAATTTCACTTGCTTGTTGATCTATTGAATTGTATTGTTCATACTTAAACATTTATATAATAGCTTAATTCAAAGTTAATTTTATAAATGATTAGATTTCTACTTGAACATACGGTCAATTAATTTCAGTACCCAATCTGTTTCACAGTTTTGCTTCCATCCATGTAAAATAAATGCAAATTTATCAGAAGGTCGACATTTTGACTGCTCCATAACATTGTTATCTATATGATAAAATGAGTATGTTAACTCTCCATCTCTGTTTTAAAAATGAAAAAAATTACTGTTTAGTATAATATATATTAAGATTGACATAACATATACTTGTAAAAATTGAAGTAAATAGTTGTATCGTTAATATTAGAAATATTATCTTGGCGCTTGTACTTAACAATATTGTTTGTGTTCTTATGCTTTAACAGGTGAACTGAGTTCACAAATATGTTTTGATTATTAAATTTCGGAATATAACTTTCACCAATCAATATTATAAATATAATATTTTTGATATTATTTTCGTTGATGAATTTCATTTTTAAATATTTAGTCACTTTAAACGAAATTACTTATATGAGACAACATTCTACTATTGCATTAGAAAAAGTTTACAATGCATTTTAAGACCATAGTATAATATTATAGTACATGTATACACACATATATATGTAAATGTTTTATATATATATGTAAATGTGTTAATTGGTTTATGTAAATGTTTTACTGTTAAATTTATATTGGAGAAATAAATTCTCAATTTATAAGATTACAGACTTTTGAATAATAACACACAAGGTTATCCATTTTATAGTTCTGAAAGTAAACGTAAATAAAACACACTTGTGATTGAGATTTCGATAAAATTTTTATTTCAATATATTGTTCGAATCTCACCATTAGATTTGAAATACAACATCTTTAAAATGTCGTCAAAAAGGACGGTTTAGATCACACTATCGTCATTTATAAAAAGGTACAAACCAATCACGTCTCCAGACTAAATGCGAACATTTTATTTATTGACACATGCATGAAGCGTAAAATCAGACTTTTAACTAAAGAAAATTCTATGCGAGAAGCAGTCACCATTTATATAGTAATTTTTCATAATTCTGAAACTGCGTTCAGCAGTTGTTAAATGATCTAGGCATATTGTAAAATGATACTCCTCAAAATAAGCACATAATGCCCTGAATGATAGTTTTCCTTAAAATATGTAACTGAAACAGTGAATAAGACGTTTTGACATTTCATAAAAATTTTTTTTATTCAATACTCGTATTACATAATATGCAAATTCAAAATAAGATCTAAAGCAGGGCTGTCGAAACCAGATGCGATCGTGAGCCGCAGAAACAAATACATACATATGTTCATAGTTTTTTTCGACAAAAATAAAAATTTGTTTATAATGTTAAATTTAGTTTTATCAATTTATCAATTTAATTTCATTTATTTGGTATATCGTAAAAATAAAATAATGTGGTTTTACCAGTACAGCGAAAAAATTCGCGTAGTTGTAGTAGATTAAAAACATGTCGCGGGCCGCACAATCATTAGCCGGACCGTACTTTAGACAATCCTGTTCTAAAGAATAGGTTTTTTAATCGGTATTCTTCTTTTAGAGAATAGATTGTTTGTTTGAACCAGCTGCGCGCAGTACTGTTTACAAGTATTTGGTTGATTTCTAGACTGGAAAAACTGTGGATCATGTGCTTGGATGTAAAACTGGATAAACTTTGGTAGTGGCACAAAAGGTGTTCAGAACTCTCTTTCTCAGAAGCTAGAAAGTATGATTTGTTTTGATTTTATTGTAAATAATAAAAATAGAAATATTATTTTCAATGTTAAAAAAATTTTTATGTGTTTATTTGTTAATGTAGTCAATGTATAAAGATTACTACTTTAAGCGTCCACAAAATAGTTGTAATACTAATAATACTAGCTATTACTATAAGGATCAAGTGACTAAATTTTGACTATAAAGCAAATTGGGGCAGTAGTTCTGCAGGAATCACTGCTCTCTTCAGAACTGAATAATCTGTATGCCACGCATATTCGTAACATGAAGAGATTATTTCTTTATATCTTGATGATATAACTGCATACCGCGTTTTTTTTCTTTGCGATAGGTTGAAAGCACTAAAAGCCAGCGTGTGAGACTTGAATCCACTAAAACCACCTTTTGGAAATGATTGTGGAAGATTTCAGCCACGTTCAGCGGATGAGATCCCATTCCAGTATTGAAGGACAGAGAGGAGAGTAGAAGTACTTAGTATTTAACAAGCTAAATTTATCAAAGCCGAAGATAGACGTATTTGGTAAGTGGTGATTGAATTATAAATGAAGGTAACGGAGTTTACGCAAACTTGTGAGAGGGTCTAGCTAAGAGTGAACTCTACGTTAGTGACTATGGAAGCCTCGGTTGTAGACGCATATCACATTCAAACAAAATCTCTGATATGTGCAAAAATGTATTAAATTTACTGTTTTTCAAAAAGTAAATAAAAATCAACGAAAATAAAACAGAAACCATTTTTTTAGGGATAAAAGTTCAAGGAGTCAGAAAATTTAAAATATAATAATAATATATGCACATAAAAACTAAGATCTCTAAAACTCGTGCTCAAACAATATATGAGTATCAGTTACACAACATTATTATATTAACAAATCATCATGTCTATAAAACTGCAGAACGAACTATAAAACATGTTGTATGGTATTTAGATATTTCAAAACACTGTGTTGAAACGTGTAGAGTTAACGCTCCTTGGTACTTAAACAATACAGATATACACACATGTATGAAGCACTCAAAATAAAAATGGTCAAAGTTTATAATAAAAGCAAAATGATGAAGTAATTTGATAGTACGCCTTATATACTAAAAGCTCAGAACCTTATATGATCGAAGAATCAAAGATGCGTATCTGCGCAGTGTAATATTTTATAATTGTAAACAAAGCATAAATAACTATAAAGGAGTAAACATGCTTACTGACACCAACTCTTGCATTTAAACAATATAAGTATTATAATCAAATTAATCGTTAAAGTAAGCAATGTTTATAAATTAATAAGAGCATTTCCGGTAATGAATAGTTATCACATATTTCATCGGTACATTATTTGCATAATAAATAAACAAACAAATTTATTGCACGGATAAAATTATATATAACGTCAGTTAAGTTAGATGCAGGAATATGTCATTACATGCTCATTATTGTAGATTAATGCAGATATTGTTATATATTTACATAAATATGTATATATTATTTGCAACATTTATATGAAATGTTCCATATTTCATATAATAATTATTTTCTCACAATGTAAATATTCGTAATAATATTTCAAAGATGTTCTATATGTGCATATGTTTAACAGAAAGATTTTTCTAAATCTCGGAATAAAAATACATATGTATGTATATTATGTATATCAATATTACTTTTTACAAATAATATATATTAATCAATAAAGTGACTCGTATAATGCATAGGGGTAACAATACTGCTTCACCCTGTATATGTATATGTGCATATATAAAGTTTTTAAGACATAATTTTTATATTTTATACAGAAAGTATAAATTTTATTAAAAATATGTCAGATTTTGCAAATACGAAAGTTCCATAAAGAATGTATATTCATTTTGACGGTTATAGAATAAATTTGCACAGTTCACCATCGTTTAATTAAAGGTAACAAAGAGAGTTTAAGAAAAGTCAGGCAACCCATAAGTATGAATACGGAAAATATAATTTAATCTAAGTTGTACGTAAAATAATTTACTTACATAAAATGAAAATATTTTGAAGCGAAATGTGTAACATAAATTAAGTTCCAAAATTGCATTAGAAAGTAAATAACGTGCTTTGGTAAAATATCTGCTTTATGGATATGTATTGATAGCGAATAGAAAAATTGTGTGCTAATTGTGTATATGCATATTTATACTGCAATGCTAATAACTTAATATATTTGTTAAAATTAAATAAATAAATACTTGTTTAAAATAACAGAAATATACTGAAAAAAAACGTTTATCAACATATATTTATGTATATAGATATACATATATATAAAGTGTATATTATATAAATATATAAAAACTATGTTTTTTATACATACATACATAAATATATATATATATATATATATATATATATTATATATATATATTTTATCGTTAGTTTAAAAAAATCAAATAAAATGATTTAATTTAATTTTTTCTCTTATTAGGAACTTTAACTTAACAATTTTATTAATGACATGGCATTAACAAAACGTATTAGGTGCTTCAAGTATTTAGTTTACAGTTATGTTGTGCTTTTAATGGTATGTACTAATATATTTATGTAATATATGTGTAAGATTTTTGTTTATTATTTTACGAAGCGAACTTTTAATTTTGTATTTACATTATGCATGCAAGCACCAATTTTGTGTTTATATTTATTATTTAAAAATTACTCCACTTTTATATATACGAACATTTAATAAATACCCTTGTTTGATGTACATACATACTTATGTATATATACGATTTTTATATATACATTATACTGCGTATGTATCTTAATGTGACGTCAATTTAAGCTGCTAAACAAGATAGTGTTGTTGTTTGAATTTCTGGAATATAACAAGGTCAGTGAGGCTGTGTGTCCCCGAAAAATATGGAACATTCAAAATCAAATGCTAAATATATAAAATCTACTTGCAATCTAAAGTGTTAGTTGCAACACATATTTTTTTTTTTGAAAATAAACTTTTTTCATTATTTATTGATACTGATTAATGCTTATGTGAACAACTTAAAAGTGTATAAAAATTAAAAAATTTTATATATTTATCAATATCCTGTATATAATTTTTTTTTAATAATCCGTCCTAAGCTAGAAGTCAGAAAAACTTTAACTTTTATTTTGATCGTAATTTTTGTATATTCCTATACGTATTTCGGCAAATTCGCTTTTGCATTCATTAGAAGAATTCTTAATATTAAAAACAGCTATGCAATTTACAAACTATTTATACTTATTTATTTAGTAGTTAGATCTTGCAGTACGTTTACAAGTTTGCAATTAACTCTACAAATGTAAGTTCCATTTTTCATACAAAATTCATACAAATGTATGCTAGTGAGGTTCAATAATTGTAAATTTAAACAATTGTAAGTTTACCTTATACGTCTATTACAATTACATTTTTATATTTCTATTCGAAATTTAAATGATTGAAAGCTTAGTCAAATCAATAATATATAACTGTTGTTTCCTACAATTTATCTTTAAATGATTTGATTTTAAGAATACTGTCCAAAATTGAACATTCAAGTACTTGCTAAATAAGAGTATTTAGTTATTAAGTATTTAAAAAAATTTTTAAGTATTGTTTTTCATATTAATGATATTTTTGTAAACATGTCGAGATCTTAACATATTATTCGAATTGCACGGTTGTTTCACACATTATGGTATCAGTTGCAAATGTCAAAAACAATAGATTAAGAAAAAGAACCCAAATTCCACAATGAGTGGGAATTCTTAAATATGTTAAAATAATCTTTTGTAATTATGCTCAGGTATTCAAGCAACAATTTTACAGTCCATTAATTAAAGGACATTTTGCACTACTTCATTTAAAAAAAAAAGATGATAATATATCTGAGTTAGTTATAATGTAAGTTTATTGGAAGCAATAAATGCTTAAAAAAAATTGAGTTGTAAAAAAGTTATAAAGGAGTGAGGTGCTTTTTATTAAAATACTGTTATTAACATTTATTTGGCGGCCCTATGCTCCTCCTAGGAGTTAAAGGAATAAATATATATATTAGCATTTATTTATACATATTTAAAAACTTTAGTTATTTTTTCTCAAGAGAAATATATATAATTTATTTTATTATGTGTAGCTTTTGTAAAATCTATAAACAAAAAGCTATTAGTAGTTTTTATTTATTTTAACATTATTTTAAAAATATATTTTAATATTTATTGATTTAAGATATAAAGCATTTATTGATTTATTGTTTGGCTCACAAAAATGTTACATATAAACTTCATAAATTAGAAAAACCTAGCTTTTATTTTTATTTAAAAAAATTAAAATTAAATATTATTAATAATTTATTATTTATCCACCAATTCATTTATGTTCGCGGAATTCTCTAGGGTAAATATTTTATACAATTATTTTAATTATTAAACTTTTAACCGTTTTGAAGTTGATTTTACTTTTTTTCTCAGGAATATTATATTACTTCGAAAATTGTATATATTATATATAATCATTTATGATATCATCTATCATAAATAGAATTCACCAAAGTTTCTATTTTCGAATCTTTAGCTTTTACAATTTAGCTTCTACAACAGTTTTGTGAAGCGATATTAAGTATTTGAAGATTTTAAAATAATCTTTGAATAACCTTTAAACTACATCTACTTTTACCTTAATTGTATAACTCTTTGAGCAATTGTTACTATTGTAAATTTACCCTTGACCCCTGGTTTAGTAATCCCTAGTTGACATACTTACACAATCCTTTCATACTTACAAAAGCACTTGAAGCTCCCTCCACTTCACCCACTTACCTACCTTTTATCATAAAATTGAAAAAAAAAAAACAGACCTGATGATAACATACATAAGAAGAAATTTGGCTGATTGATCTGTTGTAGGTGTGAAATTGTTGTAAGAAACTTCAATTTAACATTAGTCACGGAAAAAGACTGGTCAAAACAGTGTTGATTATTAAATAATGCCAGAATGTGGATGTTTGATTATATTTTAAATTTGGGTTGAAGCAAAAAGTATCACAAAAGTAGTAATAGTATGCATTTGACTATTGCAATATTATTCTCAGCATAACATAAGTTCATGGCCATAACCAAAAAGAGCGTAAAAGTGCTGTAGTCTCTCGTCATATGACTGATGCACACAGTCATGGTCCAATTTGTGCTTATAATTGAATAAAACTTTCATATATTGCTTACTTACATTCGTTTACCTTAACTTAAAGTTACCATGTTAAATTATGTATTTTAATTATTAGGTATAATTAGTATAAGTGTAGCTTATTAAATTTTCGTTAAACTTTTTCAAATTGATTATAATGAAAAAAAAAAAAAAAATGGAAAGGTTATTTTCATAATTCAAATTTACGAACAATAAATTAATTTGCAGGTAACCGGTGCTGTTCAAATATTCATAGGAACATCTTTATTATGGGGACATTCTGGTTACTATGGGATTGTACAGAATAAGTTGTGGGCACCAGCTGCTATCCTTCTATGCTTAGGACCGATAACATTTGTCCTTTGTTGGATGGGATGTCAAGCTACCAATCAACGAAAACGATGCTTATTAGGAATGGTAATATATGTACAATCAATTTTATTCATGTTTATATAATCACATATATATTTGTATTTTTAGTTTTCGTCATTATTGGTAGCCTGCATATGTGTTCAGTTTATCGTTTGTGGCTGGTCCTTAGCCATGCGCGAAAATCTTCCTACTTCCGTTGAAATATTTATTGATGACTCTTTTGTAGAGTTTCTCGATAAATTCTCTCGAACTAAAGTAGATAATTTGCATATGTGGAATCGTATGCAGTCACAGGTAAAAAGTTACCTATCATATATCTAAATTATTATTCTATAAAATTTATTCAACAGCTTCAATGTTGCGGTGTTGATGGTCCTTTAGATTATAGACGCTTATCACTTCCATGGTCATGTTGTTCTCGACCTGAACACGCATATGAATCAGCATGCGATACACACTACAAAAGAGGTTGTTTATCTGTTATTTCGGAACAAATAAAAAATAGATTGTTGATTGCATCATTCTCTTCTGCAATAATAGCAATATTTCAGGTTCGTTTCTATTATATTAATAGTTATATATAAAAATTTGAAAATTTGTCAATATATTTTTAGAGTTTGGGACTTTTTTGTGCTGTTCATTTAACAATTTTATTTGGAAAGAGTGATAATACCCACAATATGCGTAGTCTTAGTAAAACTCGCCAGCAGTCTTTTCTTCCGTTATCGATTCAAGATAAACATCATGATATGCCATCACCACTAAGTTTGTCGCCCTCTGCGCCCGGTCATCGTGCTCTTAAAACTGCTTCACAGCCAACGAAATCAAAATGACAGACGATTAGTTTTTAAATGGAACAATAAAAATTTTAAAATGCTGTATATACCTTCATATGACATGGAAGGAGAAAAGATCAAAATGACCCTCAATTTGTTGTTTTCATATAGCAAATATGTGTTAAATTATAGTATAACTTGTTATGTGATTAGATTTGAACATCTTTAACATCTTTAAAATAAAATGGATTCGATTAAAAATAATTAATTTTATTAATTGAATATACAATTGTTAATATATTTTTCATAGTATATGAGATTTAATTTGTTACTATGGACACCTAAGCTTAGGTGATATACGATGGATACTTATTATGGCCTGATTATTGAAACATATATTTCTACTTTACACAATCAATATTTTATTATAATATTATCGATTCGTTGAACATTCGTCAAGAACGTTCCCTTACATAGTAAATTAACTATTAAAAATTGCCATCTTAATCAATTTGTAATAATAGAAGGATGGAACAGTAATCCAGAAAACAAAATTCTAAATCATGAGAAAAGCCATTTACATAATAGTATTCCATAATTTCAATATTTGCATAATTTTTGGTAAAACTTTCATTGTACTGCTACTCCTTATTGTGTTCAAAAGAAGCTCAAAACTTTAAAAACCACCTTGAACTTTGACAAAGTTAAAGAAGCTTTTTAGAGGGAGAGGATAGTAATAGAAGTATAGTAGATAGAAATATTCTTTTTAATCTTTTAAATAATTTTTTAATAAGAAATCTTTTTTAATAAAGATTCAACTCAAATTCAGAATTCATACAAGTCTTTTCTTTAATTGAAGTACCTAAAAAACTTTGAACAAATTGGTTTTGTGCCAAATTTGTAACTTATAATAAACGAAAAAAAATAATAATAACTAAGCCTCATACAAGTAACTGGTTATAGCACATGGTGCTCCGTGGCTAATGCTGGTGTCCTCTAATGACCAAACGATTGAGTGGGTCCGTAAAAATGTTGTGGCGATTGCATTTAAGGCCAAAGTGGACGGTAAAGTAGCTGGGAAATCGAAGTTTCCAAAGAAGAATCTGCTATGAGGATATTTTCCACACAGTTGTGACTCTGAATACCATAACCCTAGCCTAGGTCCTAGCCACAATTGAGGCCCAGAACAGGCTCAATGAAAGCAATTCAAAAGAGACTTTAACGGACAACCTAGGATTCTTTATATCACCTCTTCTTGCCGTAGATGATGCATTCTAGTCTACATTGATCCAGCTGCTGCTTAAAACAAGCAATAAAACTTGTTTCTTAAAACAAAGTTGCACCACACACATCCAGATGGGATGTACTATGGTGGAACAACAGGCTTGGTAAAATAGGACGTCCTTGACTGCGTACAAAAATGAGATTAGAAAATCCAAACGGAGGTCATGGAAAACTTTCTGTGACAGCGTTGAGAATACTCCGCAAATGGCCCGCCTTCACAAGGTGTTGAGGAAGTCTGTTACAAATAACATAGATCGGGTAGCAAAAATTCTTCTCCTCCACGAAATGGGTCATACAGCATTTTCGTCCTGTACGTTCTCGGGGCGATGCCCAGCTAAGATTAGGACGAATTGTGTGAGTGTCCTTGGCTTTTCAATAGCTTTGCATTACTCAATGCTTTTTGATCATGATATGAAGGTCCCCTTAACCCGAGAGTGTTACGCGATCTGTACTCACCGGGCGTAGATTTGCAGTCAAGAGGTCTGTCTGACTGTATTTTTGCGGAACCTCTCCAATATATGACCACCTTGGGGAGTAAGTGTGCTCTAGCTATGGTATGGGACGCTGCTATGGTGGTTGCTTTTTTCGTTTAATTTTCTTCGGGTCCCCTGCGCCTGTTTTATCGGGTAAGGTTGACAAATACGTCATGAAAATGAACTCTTCCGATACTGGCTTGGAACTCGTGGTTGGAGAGGAGTGATATCTCCTCTCTTATGGATAATAGCAATGAATTCACTGCTTGTAAGTTAATCAGGATGGAGTCAAAGCAGGGGCGTATGCGAACGATGTAGTTCTTTTAGTAACAGATACGGTCTCTTCGGTTCGTGGCAGGCGCTCTTCAGAATCTTAGAAGATGGGTCATCTTAATAGATGGACGTAGGCGGAGACGCTTCTAAGATAGCACTGTTACTGTTTACCAACAAATATAAAATTCCAAACTTTCCATTGCCAAAGCTTATCATTAACGAAAGAACTCGCAAAGCATGTGCGGCCTTTTATGCATGCAAAAAAATGTATGATAAGACCTGGAGATTGCAGTCTAAAGTGATTCTTTGGCTATACATAGCCGTCGTTCGGTCAATTTACCATACGGATATCTGGTGTGGAAGTCCTCGTTGAATAAATAATAAATTCTT